ACATCTTGCCCAGGGAGGTAGAAAGTAGAGGGTAGTGAGTGAGTGGCTGTGTTGTACTCAGTTGCCAGCTGGTTTTAAACTGACACTATATATGTTTCTTTCCATGAGTCTGTGCAGTCAGTTTTGAATGCTTGATTAAGAATGTATCCTGGTAAGAAATTCATCATGTCTGTGGAGATACCTTCTTCTGTTTACTTTGAACCTGCCTCTTCTAGTTCCATGTGCAACTTCTATATGTAGCTTCTTTGATGGAGGATTATAGGCTGACGGGAAACCTCTTGTCAGCCGTGACCTGTAATTTAATCATGGCTGGATCTCTTCCCAGGTAACCACAGTCTCTTTGAATGATGTTTCAGGACTCTGACTTTGCCAAGTGGGCGCAAGTAGGGTACATGAACCAGTATTGTTCCTAAGAAAGGTAGAAGTATCTGTGAAGCATTTCATTGTGGCCTGTACTTACACAAGCTAGTCTTTGTGCATTTGTCCTGCCTCTAACAATTAGCTGTGCAATAGAGCTGGTGCCCCCTCTAAATCCAAGGCCCTGTGGTGGAACATGTTGCACAGAGAAGTTGTCAGTGGAAGTGTTTGAAGTCGGGTTGGGCTGAGCTTTGGGAAACTTAACCTACTGAAATATGTCCTTGCGATGGCAAAGGTGTTGGACTAGGTTATCTTTAATGGTCTCTTCAAACCCAAACCATGCTATGAGTCTATACTGCAGACAAACAAACAAAAAACCACAGACACACACACAGAAACCAAACAACACCAACGAAAACCCCAAGCAAAACATGAACAGACCCTAGCAATCTGTCCCGACAGCCTGTGTGCCAAAGTTCCAGTGTGGGATTGTGAAATATCCATGATCCTAAATTCTTGTGCCTTCCTTACAGATAAAAATAAAACAAGGTTGGGACTAGAACAGGGGCAGATTCTGGAACAGGTGGTTCACTAGTTTTTAAACTTATTCAGTGTTTCGATGAGAATGTCTGAAATGAAGAAAACTTAGTATGTTAGGAGTAGGATAATTCCCACTAGACATGGTTTGAAGTTTGAAACAGTAAGGTAAATGATAAGAAAAGCATTTTTTCACATAATTTTTAAGTACTCACAAGAGTTGACACATGAATAAACCTCCCTGAAGCCATTGGGTGTAATATCAAAATACCCTGCCTGATTAGAATGCAAAAGAGCATATATTTGTGAAATTTGTTTAGACATACAGACCTAGAGAAGTAAAAAAATGGCTGCTCAAGAGAGCTACAAAATCAGAAGTGAGCTACAAGCAGAAGCTACTACAAGCTAATGTACTAACCATGCTCTCTGCTACTCTTCTGTCACTCGGTCAAAACTAGTATTTCATTTAACAGGTGGGCGTCTTGTGATCTTGGCTCATGGACTGATGTAACTTTTGGTCTTATCTTGGAGGTCTTTAATTTGTTGCTTGTTATTGAGAACTGGCTTTGGTGTGAATTCATAGCATGTTGAGAATTCATGCAAACTCTGCACCTCCTAGAAGCAAAGGCAGCCATGAAACGTGTGTGCAGTGTGATGAGCTGCCTTTTGGAAAAAAAGCCAATTGCAGGTCTTAAAAGGACTGTTTCCATCAGAGCAGGCACTCCTGATGCATGGTCAGAGCTGCACAATGAGGTTGCTCAGAAAGCTGGGTAACTTCACTTTGAAAGTGTGCAGGAATCAACTGTGGTGACATGGAATACACTTATAAAGGATGACTTCCCATTGTATGCTCAGATACTTCATGCCCACCTTGCCTTCCCGCCCCAAATGGGTTACCACTATAAGCTTGAAAACCTAAGGTTTCACTTAAGGTTATTGGTCTCAGGCATGGAGGGAACCAGTAGTACTGGTGGCATTAGTTCCTAGTGGTGCTAGGCCCTACTAGAGAGCCTTGGCATTGAAATAATGATAGAAAACCAGAGTGGTTTTCTCTCCATGGAGAGATTTCTGATTTGCCTGGTTTTGTGATACACAGTGGAGCTCAGTCCAGAAAAACCCTTAAGTATGCAAATCACCATAAAAATTGGAAATAGATACTGTGTTTGGTCTAAGAATTCCTACAGGGCTTAAGTAACAGTAATGTCTGCCCTCCTTAGCTCTTCATGGTGTTTCCATCTTGTACCTCAAAATTATCATGGCAAACAAGGGAGACTTGTGTGCACACTTTCTCATTGCTGTTTCCCTGCAGGTGATTTTAATAGGCAGCTAATGGGTCAGATGATGCAGATGAACCAGATACTGGGAGATGTGAAAGACCTTCTCAGGCAACAGGTACTGTATAAAGGCTTCAGTGTGAAATATCCCAAGCTTGCTAATTTTGATAGAGTCAGTGAGAAATTCATGTAAGCAATGAACTCCTGTTTAGAATTCACTGCCTCAGAGGTATGACACGGTGGAGAAGAAAAACCCGTATAGGTCCTGGTACCCTGTGATTGCTATGGAGGATCACTGAATGTAGGAGTGCTTATTCAGATACAGAAAGCCTTATGCCCTAAGTGGGAAGGAACTAGAGTAACCATCCTAGCTTGCTGTTAGGTAGAGGTAGGTCTATCAGAACTGAACTTATGTTTGTTTCACTTGCTTGTGGATATCAGAACATGGTGGCACAAGCCTTTGGTTAAGTATGTTATTCCTAAGGGTCTGTTGATGATGGCTGAAGTATAGCAACCATTATCACTGCCCTTAATTTTATGGTATAAAGAACATCTATATCAAGATAGACTATCTATATTGCATGGTTAAAGTGATATGTTGGGGAAGAAATCATAGAATCATAGAATAGTTAGGGTTGGAAAGGACCTTAACATCACCTAGTTCCAATCCACCTGGCATGGGCAGGGACACCTCATACTACACCATGTTGCCCAAGGCTCTGTCCAACCTGGCCTTGATCACTGCCAGGGATGGAGCATTTACCACTTCTTTGGGCAACCTATTCCAGTGCCTCACCACCCTCACAGTAAATAACTTCTACCTTGTATCTAACCTGAACTTTCCCTGTCTTAGTTTGAACCCATTATCCCTTGTCCTGTTGCTACAGTCCCTGATGAATGATAATGGCTCCTCCGGCAGCCAGGTGCAAAATAACTTGCCTGTATCCAAGTAACATCTGGTTTCTATGTCCTCAAGGTCAAAGAAACAACTTTTCTGAGAAATACCATAGCTGAGTGCCAAGCATGTGGTAAGTATTCTTGGTACTCCAGGCAATCCGATGAGATGTACAATCATTTAAAAACTAGTATTCATTGCATAGCTTTATGTTGTTTCTAAGAAGTGCTCTTAAAAAATATTACTTTTCAGTGTTTTAGATGTATTGGACACAAATGTAAAATGGATTTTTATTAGAGAAAAAGCTTTCAGTTTCCATAGGCCTGATAATCGTCTATCAGGGGATAAACCCCTACTAAATCAAGCAGTACCACTCACCCTGTACTGTCAGTTCTTGCTCTGCTGCAAACCTGTGCCATGTGTTCCTGGGGAGGGAGACCATGCGTGCCAGGAATCTTATGAACAATCTTAGTAGGAGAGCAAAGGAGGAATCGTGTTCTGCTCTAGCTGGTATTGTCAGTCTGAGGAAGATCCTGTGCAGTCCACCTGAAAGTCATCTGATTCTGAGTAGGCAGTCATTGGTGAACAGCAGGAAGACCCAAAACATGGCCTCCATCTTTTCACTAAATAGAAGCAATAAATGCTTTCCTAAATGCCACTGCATGGACTTCCTCCATGACTGACAATCAGGACGTACATGCACTCAATATAGAAACCAGAATACCCCCTCACTGGGTGGGGCAAAAGGCTTTAAATTCATCAAGCGTTTCAGTTTATTTCTTCTCTCAGTCTGTCAGCTTCATCAAAACTCAAGTTGAGCTTCCACCAGATTAACCTTTATGTGTAAGTGCCAAAGGAGAAGTCTTTAAGGCCTGCATGCATGAGTATCAAGGTTCAGCACCTGCCAGTCTCAAAAAAACTTTGTGGCTCCCTGGGGCTGGTCTCTGTGCACCTAAGCCAGTGTACTTGCATGTCCTTCTGTGTGTTCAAGGGCTGCCAGCTGCTGCTTCTTTATTCCTCTTATCTGTAGACTGTCAGATGTGCTCTTGAAAAGTCATGGCACTGTTTTTCTTATGAAGTGGTAGTGTTGCCAATTTAGCCAGAGAAATGTGTTTGTCCCTTGGGGCATCTGAGGTCGCTGGCTTTCAGTTTCCTCCTGCTGGTCAGAAACAGATCGGTGCTGGGACTAACCTAGCAGGAAGCCTCCCATGTGTAGCCAGGAGAAGCATGTGGATCTAACAAAATAGCCTTAATTTCCCCTGTCTGGGGACACAACAAGCTCCTGGGCCATTCCCTGCAGGATGTCTCTTCAGCCACAGCACAGCTGGTAGCAGCGTGGTGCAGAAAGACCAAGCCCCTGCTGCACAGCCTCCCTGGGATTTCTTAAGAGCACTTGCCAGCTAAAAGCCATAATGGATGTTTGTTTCAGTCACTGAAACTGTTGTTCTTTCTGCATTAAAGGTTTGGGAACTGTGAATTTTCCAACTCAGCTTCCTAGGCGCAGTAAACCCAAATGCGAAGTTAATTCCTGCTTCAGGGGAGTCAGGTGCATGGAGACAGCAGAGGGATTTCAGTGTGGCCCCTGCCCTGAAGGACTCACAGGAAATGGAGTTACCTGCTCAGATATTGATGAGGTAAAAAATAGTGACTTTCACTGAATTAAAAAAAAAAAAAAAAAAGGATGGGGGGGAAAAAAAAAAGCTAAAAAGCAACTGTTTCATACAATGGGTTGCTGATGCTTGCTGTCTTCAGCATTTGCTGACTGCTTGCACAGTGAATATTAATTCATTCTGATTTGCTTCCGCCTCCTTATTTTGCTGTTGCTGCAACTTTGTGGAGGTTATATGTGTGAAAACTTGAAATACCCTGGTGAGTTGAGAAGTCACTTAAAGGACTTTAAATTTGGAAAAAAAAACCCAACCAAAACAAACAAAAGAAGCTTTTGACACAGTTGTTTCTATTCCCCAAGAAGATGCAGCAGCTTTTGTTACAGGCTGCAGAAGCCCTTATCAATATGGGCTTTGTTTCTTTAAATTGTACTGCTCCTGAACCAGCCTTGAAGACCAAAGTCTTCTCTTCAGCCCAGACTGGAGCAATGTTTTTCAGTCTTGTGTTAAATGTCTGTGAAAGAAAATAAACATTTATTGTTATTGTTGCTTTTTTTCTTCATGTTTGTGTTGAAAGCTGCTAATGTTGACTTAAATTCACCTTTTTTTTTCCTTGTGTTATGTTAGAAAGTCAGAGCTTGCTTGTACTAAGGACTGAGTTAATAAATTGACATCTGAAGAAATTAAATAAAATCTGTGTTAATTGGAATGTGACATTCAGAACACAAACAACAAAACCACTTCCCAGTTCACCACATTTCTTTCTGTATGATGATTTTTGCCATTGCTCTTAAGTGACTTTTCTGGAAAAACACCTGCATGTAGTAGACCAGGGAAACAGGAGAATTAGGTCATTAACTGTTCCTGCGGATAGCACCGTACTACCACCATGGCTGCCTAATGATGTAGCACAGCAAAAGCAATTCCTTTTTTCTCCTTCCCAGGCAATAGATGTGCTTTGACTGCTCTTTTGGTTTACTCCCTCCTGTAGGCCATCAGCAGAAAGGACACAATGTGTCCAACTTACATCTGTGTGTGAAAAAGTAAGTGGGTTGAGTGTGGCAGTTTCCTCAGTGCAGGCAGTATCTTTTGTTTTGCCTCACACGACATGGACTATGTCTGCTGCAACAGAAGGTGCAAAAAATGGAGGTGAAGCCCTGAAATGTGAATGCAAGAGGTGAAGCTGAAAGAGCTCTGGTGTGAGTTTCATGCCACAGATAACCGTGGTGAGAGTCTCAAGCCAGCCTAGCTGAAGCCTACCAGTACAGATAGTTTCCTCCTCCTGAGCCATACCTAGACTGAGGCAGAGCATGGTGATAATCTCCCTGCCATTTTGAGAGTTGGAGCAACACTACTCTTGACAGCAGTAGTAGGAAAACAAACCGAGACTGGTCTGTAGTGACATGCTTTCTCATATGAGGTCTTTACATGAGCACTGCTACTAAAATGTCACCTAGTCTGTTGTGGGTCTTTTCACCAGTAAATAACTCTTTTTAACAGCTGGATTTTCACTTATGGGTTTGGGGGGGGAGAGGTAATAAATGGCAATAGCTTTTCATTTTCATTCTCTAATAAGAGAGGGTGTGTCATATTTGTTTTCCTGAGTTAACTGAGAACATGAAGTAATTTTTTTTATAATTTTTGAAAGCTTTTTTGAAATCTTCTGGGAGAGCACCTTTCTACTGTCTGATCTATTTCTGTACTTCCTAGTAGCTGGCATTTAAAAAGAAGTTCATATACAAATTTTGCTAAAGACAAATCTAGAAGATGCCTCACTCAGAGCTGCTGTAATCTTTTCTGAGGCTTTTAGCATCTCTGCAATATGCTCCCTTATTCATTACCAGTTTGAAGACACTGCTTTCATATCCCGTATCTTGGGAGCTGCAGCTCTGCCTGTTTATGTGTAACTTGAGTGCCCTCTGCTGCCTGTAATAAAAAATCCACAGCAAATAAGGAGCACAAAATGTCTGTCCTAGGTTTTACGTTTTGCTTATGCTAGTTGTGGACCTAGTTCTAACAGATCTTTCCATCAAACACACTTTGATATTAAACATACCTTTTCTTCCTCCATTGCGTATGTGTTTAGTTACAAGTTGTATGTTTGTTGTAGTTATCTTCTGATTTGTTCTCTCTCCATCTTGCAGATGTTTTTCTGTTACTGATCGGGGGGGATGCATATTTTTAAAGCTCTTTTCTATTTCTTTCTCGTGTTTCTTATTTACTGTTGTCTTTGAGCCATGTGTAGCATGATGGTATGTTGAAGTTTTCAGTACCCTTAGAAATACTACCTAGTATGGAGAGGCAGCAGCACAGGATGTGGTTTCCCAAACTGGCACCCACAAGGCAGGTGAAATGGGTCATAACTGTTCTGTAAGGCTACATGATGGCAGTAAAGCAGATGGTGCCTTCAGGCCAAAGGTGATGCTGTGAGTGCGTGGGATTCTGGAAGAAGTACCACGGATTGTGTGTGGACCTCCAGTCTAGAAATATGTGAGTGCCGCTGACGCATCCTTGCTCATTTGCCTCATGTTTGGGTTACTTCTGGCTGTGAGATTTGCCCAAATATAAATGAAGGGAGATGCTGCTGCTGCTTCTGTGTGCACAAAACAAAACTGGAGGACCATTTGATGGGTTCTAGTTATACAGCTGTCTGTCCTGATACTGTGGTTGGGTTGCTTCCAGGGGGCTCTCAGCTTCCAAGGGAATTGAACCTACCCAGCAAAAAGGACTGGCATCAGAGCTTAGGGCATTAACTACAGGCTATCATGGAAGGTTGCAAGCAGCTGGAGACCTACTGGGATAAGAAATATCTGCAGTGTCTGTTCCTCTCTAAGCCAGTTCTGAACAGAAGACATACAGACATTACAAGTAGCGATGCCTTTGACTGAGAAGTCTGTGTGCATAGTCAGGGTCTGGACGTTACCAAAGCACAAACATGCTCGGTTCATTTTTTCTTTGCAGTGTCGTTACAACCCTTGCTTCCCTGGAGTGCGATGTATGAACACTGCTCCAGGTTTCCGATGTGAGTCTTGTCCCCCAGGATATACAGGACAAACCGTGCAAGGGATAGGCCTCAGCTATGCCAAGAGCAATAAGCAGGTGAGTGGCAGTATCCCTGTGGCAACCGCCACTGCAAGTTGCTGATTTATATCAATGCATCTCTATTGTACTTCATTTATACTTCAGTCATCCGTAAATGGCAGAGCCAAAAGGCAGAGCTGAGTGTTTCAATCAGAAGATCTGAGTTGTGTTTGCTTGGCTTTAATGGGAGTACTAAGATTCTAATACTCAGATTGGTATATAAACAAGAAAAAATGTTAGTATCTTTGAAGGTATTTCTGATCAAGGGCACTCTGTTGATATCTGCAAACTGGCTTTGAACTAGGAAGAGTGTGATAGAAAAGGCCTATTTTATTGTCTTCTTTTTTTTTTTTTTCATTTTTCTGTAGCACTCACCTTACAGTTGTCTAAACTCTTGTGGGCAAACCAGAAGCCCATCCTAAGTTTGAAATTTTCTGTATCACAGAGATCCATTGGAAGATATGCCTATGGATATGTCTGTGCCATTCTCAGAGTGATTTCAGGAGAGTCTATAACTCTTTTTCTAGACTTAAATTTCAGTGCCTTTTCTTCAGACTTGGATCTCAGATTGACATTGTCGTATTACATGATGATTTGTTTTGTTGCTAGGTCTGCTTAGATATTGATGAATGTCAGAATGGTGGACTTGGACTCTGCGTTCCAAATTCCCATTGCATAAACACTTTGGTAAGCACCTTTTCATTTGTGGCTTTAAAAGATTGACTGTTCTAAAATTCCTTGAGGCTAGGATTGGATTTATGGCTCTAACTGATGAGGTGAATAATACAGTTTGTTTGTTGGCTTCATCTAAATCAAACAATCATTTCCTCTTTTCCTGTCTATTAATAAAAAAAATCGGTACTTTATTTGTCATTAACATGTCCATTTGAGCTGTATGCTTATCGATTTCCCTGAGGAATGTCAGGAACTCTTCTCTCCAGATCATCCGGTTATGTGTGTTTGTGAGTATGCTATTGCAAGGAGCCTCCTTTGAAAGATTAAATCTTTGCTTCTGCTCGTCCCATTTGGGAACTGCTGCAGCAAGCTGTTCTCCTAGATGCTCTTTTCATATGGTCAATGTCTTCACTTTGTTAGGGTATTTATAGAGTACCAGCTATCCTTCTTAATAAGTACAGAGAGGAGGAGAGCTGCAATTGGTACAACATTTTTAATACCCATAGGTATTTAGTCTAGGAGAGCAAGCATAACAGAAGTACAAACAGCTATGTTTTGAAAGGTTTGAAAGATAATTAGGCTCCAAAAGAATGGGACTCACAAACCTTTTAAATGCTATGAAGCAGTTAGACTTTTCACTTAGAATCACAGAATCAGAGTTACTTAGGTTGAAAAAGACCCTTAAGATCATAAGGTCCAACCATTTACCTAACACTGCCAAGTGCACCACTAATCCATGTCCCTAAGTGCCACATCTGCGTATCTTTTAAATAACTCAAGGGACAGTGACTCCACCACTTTCCTGGGCAGCCTGTTCCAGTACTTGATAGCCCTTTTGGTGCCTTTTTTTGTTTTTTTTTCTAATAGCCAATCAAAACCTCCACTCGCACAGCTTGGGGATATTTCCTCTTGTTCTGTCACTTGACACCTCATAAGATGCTTCCTTTTAGGTAGCTGTAGGAAGAGATAGGGTCTCCCCTGAGCCTGATTTTCTCCAGGCTAAACAACCCCAGTTCTTTTACTTGCTTCTCATCATACTTGTGCTCCAGACCCTTCACCAGCTTTGTTTCCTTTCTCTGGACCCACTCCAGCTCCTCAATGTCTCTGTTGTCTGGAGGGGCCCAGAACTGAACACAGGATTCAAGGTGTGGCTTCACCAGTGCCCAGTACAGGGGGATGATCCCTGCCCTGGCCCTGCTGGCCACACTATTGCTCATACAGGCCAGGATGCTGTTGGCCTTCTTGGCTGCCTGGGCACAAGCTGCCTCATGTTCAGCTCCTTCAATCAGCACCCCCAGGTCCTTTTCTGTGAGCAGCTTTCCAGCCACTCTTCACCAGGCCTCAAGGTGTGGGGTTGTTGTGGCTCAAGTGCAGGACCTGACACTTTGCCTTGTTGAACCTCATGCCACTGGCCACAGCCCATTGATCCAGTCTGCCCAGATCCCTCTGCAGGGTCTTCCTCCCCTCCAGCAGACCAATGCTCCCATCCAACGGGGTGTTGTCTGCAAACCTGCTGAGAGTGTATTTGATCCTCTAATCCACATCAAAGATAAGACCTTGGTAACTTTGATTTACTATAAAATAAAGATATTAAACAGAACTGGTCCCAGTACTGAGCCCCAGGGAACACCACCTTGACTGGCTGCCGACTGGATTTAACTCCATTCACATCCATTCTTCGGGCCCAGCCACCCAGACAGTTCTTTACCCAGTGAAAAATAATGAGCAAGCAACGAGCAGCCAGTTTCTCCAGGCAAATGCTCTGGGAAAGGCTTTGCTAAGGCCCAGGTAAACAACAATCACAGCCTTTTCATCATCCACTGAGCAGGTGACCTTGTCATAGAAGGAGATCAGGTTGGTCAAGCAGGATCTGTCCTTCATAAACACATGCTGACTGGGCCTGATCACCTGGTTGTCCCATATGTGCCACTTATGCTACTGTAAATACTGTTCTGCTATAGCTGGGTGTACAAAGCAGGCTTTCTCCATTACAAGGGAAAGGTTAAAAGTATCCTGTGAGTGTAAAAGTGGTCCTTTGTGCAGCTAAGTATTGTTGAGGCTATTAGTAGTGTTTGAAATTATTGCTTTCTTTGTGAATAACCTTGTTTTCCTAGGGTTGCTTTCAATGTTCAGTATGATTTGTGGTTTGGATTTTTTGTGTGGTTTTTAATTTGGGGGTTTTTAATACCTAGAACATTTCTATCACATGCTGTATCTTACTGCATGACTATACATAACTAGTTCTCTTCAGGAAGTCATGAGGACCTGTTTATAGATGGCAACAAGTGTCCTGCCATCTGTCAAAACAGCACTGTGGGTTTCTTACTCCTGTCTCCTTTAGAAATAGTTTGGTCTGGAAGTGCTGCCTCAAAGGCTATTTTAATGCATACCAGGGCTTGATATAGGGCAGAATTTACTGAGTAAATTCAGGAGACCCCAGAAGATATTAGCCTGGCATCCATTAGGAGAAAGTGCACAGACGGCTATGTTTTATATAGGCCATACCATTTGCGTAGCCCAGTGATTATTTTACTCTTCACATATCTGCGTATATTCATCTTCAGCCGGGAAGTATGCAGACAGCACAGAGTTAAAGTTTGCAATGAAGCTAGGACCATAGGACAAAAATAATACCCAGATGGGCAGAAAATGTATATGTCTGTGATGGCTGACTAGGACAGTCCTGACAGTTCCCTTTACAAGCTTTGTATGGGAAGAGTGACTGTGTGAGAAGTGCCTTGATTTTACAAAGGGATGGATGTGCAAGTTTGACAGAGATCTGAATGCTTCTGTTTCCTGACATGTCAAAAATATTCTTTATAAGAGAAAAAAAAATTATTTTCAATTAACTTTTATGTCATAGGTTACAAATCTACAAGTGTGTGAGTTTGGGGGCTTTTGGGGGGGGGGGGAGGGGCGGGGTGTTGAGACAAAAGCCATAGTAAGGGTCAAAAGAAGACCCTTCTTACCAGGATTTATCCATTTGTATCTCATGGTGATCATCCCAGCATACACTTCCTTGGCTTAGCTCCTTGGGGTTTGTTTACACAAGAGAGTGGCATCATATAAAATATATATATGCATCTAGGTAAACCACTGGAAAAGGTGACATGGATGTTCTTATTACAGTGTAAATGAGGATGACTGTGTCTTCAGCTCCTGAATTCTTTTCTGAAGACCAACATTTAACTCAAATTGGCTTACAAACATACAAGTTTAAAAAAAAAAGGAGCAAAGACATGCTGAACTCTCTTGTCTCTCACTGATTAAAAGTTGTGCCTAGTTGAGTTTATTAAAAACTGGTGGATCTGCTTTACACTGAAATAAGAGCATCCAGTCTGATTAAACAGGTGCTGCTTACAATTTTACATGTTTTGGCTACCTGGAAGCTGCCTGGAAGCAGCTCAGACTGATGCTGGCAGAGACAAGACATCGTGAAGCTTGCTGCTGCTACATGACTTTTCTCTGGCTTAACAAAAGACTCGTCTAAAAGGCAGAGTTGAGCATATTTTTCAGCTTGCAGTGAGGGAGCCAGACCTGATTTTCGTGTAGGAAATGGTTTGTTCACAGTGCAAGGAGGCCTCATTGGATGAAAAACTACACTTGCACAGCATAAGCAGTGTGGCCTGAATCTTGCCCACATGTTTGATTTAAAAGAAAAAAAGTCCCGTTAAAGGGCTGGCTAGTAACTTTTTGTTCTTGCAGGGGTCTTACCACTGTGGCCAGTGCAAACCAGGATACACAGGAGACCAAATTAGGGGATGTCAAGCTGAAAGAAGCTGCAGAAATCGAGCCCTCAATCCATGCAGTGTCCATGCTCGTTGTATTGAGGAAAGGAGAGGAGAGGTGACATGTATTGTGAGTTCATGAATTCATGCTTTTTTACAATGAAAAATAGCCTTTTTTAGGCTGGAACCGGGAAGGTCTTTGTGTTGGGTATTTTAACTGGATCTTAACTGGGCACACTAGCCCAGACCAGCTATGAATATAACCAGGCTAAGTCTATCTTGCAATTGCTTCCTTCTTGCAGCATCTCTGTAAGGCAGCCATGCTCATTTACCGTATTTACTGTGTCTATACAACTAGATTTTTTGGGAATGGCTTTTATAGACTTTCTATAGTCTCCTCAGAAAGACTGTTGAATGTCACCCTACAGAAGAGATCACAAGGACAAATTCCTCTCCTGGTGCTCATCTGC